CACCCCTGTTAGAATAGCCATCATCAGCAGCACCACTAACAACAGGTGTTGGCAAGGATGCAGGGGGTTGGGAGAAGGAACCCTTTTACGCTGCTGGGGAATGCAAACTAGTACAACCACTCTGGAAAAAAATTTGGAGGCTTCTTAAAAATCTAAACATAAATCTACCATATGATTCAGCAATACCACTCTTGTAGATATACCCAAAAAGAATGTGACACAGGTTACTCCAGAGGCACCTGCACACCCATGTTATTGCAGCACTATTCACAATAGCCAAGTTATGGAAACAGACAAGATGCCCCACTACTGACGAATGGATTAAGAAAATGTGGTATTTATACAATATGGAATTTTTTTTAAGGTAGCAGTATGTTTATTGCTTTTCTCTTTTTTTAAATTTTTATTTTATTCATATGTATATACAATGTTTGGTTCATTTCTCCCCCCTTACCCCCATCCCCTCCCTTACACACCCCCCCTTATCCCTCACTACCAGGAGGAAACTATTCTGCCCTTATCTCTAATTTTGTTGAAGAGAGAGTATATGCAATAATAGGAAGGACCAAGGGTTTTTGCTAGTTGAGATAAGGATAGCTATACAGGGAGTTGACTCGCATTGATTTCCTATACATGTGTGTTACCTTCTAAATTAATTCTTCTTGAACTAACCTTTTCTCTAGTTCCTAGTCCCCCTCTCTTATTGGCCTCAGTTGCTTTAAAGTATCTGCTTTAGTTTCTCTGCATTGAGGGCAACAAATGCTATCTACTTTTTTGGGTGTCTTACTTATCCTCTTATCTTCCTTGTATGCTCTCGCTTTATCATGTGATCAAAGTCCAATCCCCTTGCTGTGTTTGCCCTTGATCTAATGTCCACATATGAGGGAGAACATACAATTTTTGGTCTTTTGAGTCAGGCTAACCTCACTCAGAATGATGTTCTCCAATTCCATCCATTTACCAGCAAATGATAACATTTCGTTCTTCTTCATGGCTGCATAAAATTCCATTGTGTATAAATACCACATTTTCTTTTTTTTTTCTTTTATTATTCATATGTGCATACAAGGCTTGGTTCATTTCTCCCCCCTGCCCCCACCCCCTCCCTTACCACCCACTCCACCACCTCCCTCTCCCCCCCCCACCCAATACCCAGCAGAAACTATTTTGCCCTTATTTCTAATTTTGTTGTAGAGAGAGTATAAGCAATAATAGGAAGGAACAAGGGTTTTTGCTGGTTGAGATAAGGATAGCTATACAGGGCATTGACTCACATTGATTTGCTGTGCGTGGGTGTTACCTTCTAGGTTAATTCTTCTTGAACTAACCTTTTCTATAGTACCTGTTCCCCTTTTCCTATTGGCCTCAGTTGCTTTTAAGGTATCTGCTTTAGTTTCTCTGCATTAAGGGCAACAAATGCTAGCTAGTTTTTTAGGTGTCTTACCTATCCTCACCCCTCCCTTGTGTGCTCTCGCTTTTATCATGTGCTCATAGTCCAATCCCCTTGTTGTGTTTGCCCTTGATCTAATGTCCACATATGAGGGAGAACATACGATTTTTGGTCTTTTGGGCCAGGCTAACCTCACTCAGAATGATGTTCTCCAATTCCATCCATTTACCAGCGAATGATAACATTTCGTTCTTCTTCATGGCTGCATAAAATTCCATTGTGTATAGATACCACATTTTCTTAATCCATTCGTCAGTGGTGGGGCATCTTGACTGTTTCCACAACTTGGCTATTGTGAATAGTGCCGCAATAAACATGGGTGTGCAGGTGCCTCTGGAGTAACAGTCTTTTGGGTATATCCCCAAGAGTGGTATTGCTGGATCAAATGGTAGATCGATGTCCAGCTTTTTAAGTAGCCTCCAAATTTTTTTCCAGAGTGGTTGTACTAGTCTACATTCCCACCAACAGTGTAAGAGGGTTCCTTTTCCCCCGCATCCTCGCCAACACCTGTTGGTGGTGGTGTTGCTGATGATGGCTATTCTAACAGGGGTGAGGTGGAATCTTAGCGTGGTTTTAATTTGCATTCCCTTTATTGCTAGAGATGGTGAGCATTTTTTCATGTGTTTTCTGGCCATTTGAATTTCTTCTTGTAAAATCTATTTATGACTCTTTGCAAAGATTCTCTTTAAGCATCATGGTATGCCCAACTGTGGAGCCTATGCAAGGTGCTCACTCAACATCTCTGAACCATTGGCTCCTTCTTTTCAGGAGCATCAACCCCTCTGTTTTGTTTGGAGTTGATGAGTTAATGTATGCAAGGTCTTAAACCTATGTCTACCTAACATATGGTGAGAGCTCCCAAGTATCAGCCATTAATTTTTTTTTTTCCTTGGTGGTACTGGGTTTGGACTCAAGACCTTGGGCTTGATAGGCAGGTGTCTACCAGTTGAGTCCAAGTATAAATCATTACTCTTGATGTGATTAAAATTGCCTAAGCCTACGAACTACAGGCAGACCCCACTCTTTGTGAACGGCTAGAGTTTTGAGCATCTTAAGTGGATGTTTTGGCAACTACTTCAGGTTTATGAAGAAAAAGGAACCTCACAGTTTCTGGGAATACCCTTCTGCCTGCCCTGCTGAATTGCTTTCTGAACCTGGTTGGATATGTGCAGGATTGGGTAAGCTGACTAAAGCCTGAGGCCTTTTGTGGGTCTTTGGGCTGGTTCATTCTTCACTCTCAGCCTCAGTTATGCCCCCTCAAAAAGATAATCTTGTCCCACAATTGCATGGCCACTGTGGTAACTGGGGAGCAAAATCTATAAGGAACCTTGGCCATACAGCCTAGCCCACAGTAAACACTAAATAAAAAGCAGTTGCCTTTATAAGCAAATCAGCCATTATTCTTAGGATCATTATCAGCTACAATAAGGATACTTAAATTAAGGGGATTCTTATTGTTCTTTGGTAGGTAGGAGGAAGGATTTCAAACCTAAACCATATCATCAAGAAGCCCATCTTCCTCCTCTGCTGTCTCTTTATTCACAACAAGACTTCAGATCCTGCCTTAACCCAGGAGGGAGCCTAACTCCACACTGCTGGGATTTCCCAATGTGCCCCATAATACCCAAACCCAGCCTGTGGCAAAGAATGAAGGCTCTGTGTGGTTTCCCAGGAGCAAATTGAAGAGCTGCACTCACTGGCCTCTAGGAGTGCATTTTCATGATGCAGAGAAAGAAAAAATAGCAGCCTTAAAAAATTCCCTGCTGAAAAAAGTAGAGGGAGATTATGTGGAGAAAAGCACCTAAGAGATAGAAAGAAAAAAATCCACTATGATTGGTAGCACTGTCTCTGGTTGCTTTGGCAACCACCAGGCCATTTCACAAGAGATGACTCTGTAGGGTGACCATCAAGTTTGGAAAAATTGGAAAATAGATAATAACTGAAATTACATGGTAAATCATGATATGATGTTATCACATACAGTCTCACTTTATGGTCACCAACTACTAGAAATCTTCAAAGGGGGTGAAGGTCAAGATAGGATGTAGCTCTCATATCCCCCACCACCCTCCCACAGTGGGGCCAAGTGTCTCCTTAGCAGCTGACTGACCTGAGACTTTTGGATCATGTATGCATCGTAGCTGGACCCGTGGTACTTGGCCGTAATATCTGGACTGTAGCCAGCATCACAAGTGCATGGTATACTTGAGTTCAGGGGCTGTTTTCTAGGTCTATAAACCTGTGGGAGAAAGCTACAATGGTTAAATGCAGGAGTGGAGGGCACAGGGTGCACAGGGAAGGAATTTGGGGAAACCAAAGAAGAAGGCTCATCTTAACTTTCTAGGGCCAAGTGGGTGGAAAACCCAGTACAGAAGATGCACAGCTCCAAACAAAGAGGAACCTCAGGGCCACCAATAATGAGGCATGCCACTCTGTGGAATGATTCCAACGTCTGGCAGCAACTGAGATCCTCCCTCTGCAAGAAGAGGGGGCCCAGGCATGCCCGTGGTCTCCCTCTGTCTTTCAGCAAGGCAGCCTTATAAGAAATGGACTCTGGTTCAGGGCCAAAGATGCCTTTTCTTTCCTGAGGAGCAAAAGGGTTGGCCCCATTGTAAGGAGAGGGAGCTTATACCTAGCATATCCTGTGCTCAGCACAGATTACCCTAGCAGGCTGAGAGCCAGTTCCAGGAGCTGAAATCAATGTGGACACTTTACATGGTAATGATGTGTCATTTAGAGAGCTTCAGAACTACATGTGGCTCTAGCTAAGATGTGGGGGCTACCTTATTGAGGCCACAGAAGCTGAGTGTGTTTCATAATGAAGTAAGAATCTAAGTACTATTTTATCAGGTGCTCTTTAAGTCACTTCCAGGAAACCCTCCAAAAAAGTAAAGAACTTTTTGTACTAGTTAGGAATATGCCTCTCCTTCCACTTCCCTTAAAATAAGTACTGGGCTAGCCAGGAGGAAGCATGGCATAATGGAGGCAAAAAAAAAAAAAGTGATTAAAAAATTAGACTGACTAATGGCTAGGAAGTCTCTAAACCTAGTCTGGCAGTACTGGGGGCAGGGAGACATTCCTCTGTTGAAAGGACCTGGAAGAAACAGTTGAAGAACAAAGTTGAAGTATAGGAAGAAACCGAAAGAACTGTATGAGGCGAGTAATTTACAGAAAGTGAGCAAGACAGAAGGTAATAAGTCCAACAGGAAAGAAGGTGTCCAGAATTTAATTAGGAGTTTTTAGGTTTAATTAGAAGTCAAAGTCCACTGGAAGGTACAGAGCAGAGCAATATTTCTTGGGAGATGATGTTAATATAAAAGAAAGAAAAAGAGCATTGTTTGCAAATGACTCAAGCCCAGCCAACATGCACATAAACACAGAAAAGCAGTAAAGTGGTGTCCCAGCAATAATTTGGGCCATTTTGTTCCTACCTGGTTTGAGTTGCTTCAGCTTGCAGGGCGGACATGGGAAAATGAGGAGTGGCTAAACCCAGAGAACGCACCAAGTTCCCAAACCCAGCAAGACAAAATTTCCATGCAGGATTTCCCACCTGCTGCTTTAACTGATGCACTAGTCGGTCCTTCTCCCGCTTGAGTGCCATGACTTCTTCCTGCGTCTTTTTCTTCTTGGAGGCAGACAATTCCAGCAAGGCAATGTTTGCATCTTTTTCACTGATTGCTGCAAGTAGTGCTTCCTGTCTGGTAAAATAAAATCATTGTGATCATTTGTATGAGGTGAAAAACACCCAACTATAAGTTAGCATTTATAGTTGAAATGCGTCTTAAATTATTAGCTCTATGGGAAAGAATTACAAATACTGCTTAAGACAGACTACTTACTTGACTCTCAGAATGAACAAAGTAGTTTGGATCAGAATCACTGAGACCTGTATGCTGCATACTCTGAGAGAGGTATCTTTCAATTGCTTCATAGATAAGAGTCAAAAATTAGAAATAGGAAGGGGTCAATCTGTGCATTCATCCATCCATCCATCCATGTCAAATAAAATTCGAGGTCTTGAAGACAGCCCAACAAAACTGGGCAGCAATTTCAAGTATTACTTTTCTCATGCAGGATTTTCTTCTCAAGGCAGGCAGAGATATTTATTTATTTTATTTTTTCATTTTTCTTTTATTATTCATATGTGCATACAAGGCTTAGTTTGTTTCTCCCCCCTGGCCCCACCCCCTCCCTTACTACCCACTCTCCCCCTCCCTCTCCCCCCCCCCAATACCCAGCAGAAACTATTTTGCCCTTATTTCTAATTTTGTTGTAGAGAGCGTATAAGCAATAATAGGAAGGAACAAGGGTTTTTGCTGGTTGAGATAAGGATACAGGGCATTGACTCACATTGATTTCCTGTGCATGGGTGTTACCTTCTAGGTTAATTCTTTTTGATCTAACCTTTTCTCTAGTACCTGTTCCCTTTTTCCTATTGGCCTCAGTTGCTTTAAGGTTCTGCTTTAGTTTCTCTGCGTTAAGGGCAACAAATGCTAGCTAGTTTTTTAGGTGTCTTACCTATCCTCACCCCTTCCTTGTGTGCTCTCGCTTTTATCATGTGCTCATAGTCCAATCCCCTTGTTGTGTTTCAGGCAGAGATATTTATTAGAGTCCCCATCCATTTTCAACTCATTTAATGAACGTTAACCTTGTTTTCCTCTCTTAAGCTTTGCCTTTGTCACACAGCTCCTCAGCCTCCAGGCTTCAGCCCAAATGAGTCCTCTTCAGAGAGGACCTCTCCAGCCACTCCTTCTCATAATGTCTCTCCATCAGCCACCTTTTGTCCCAGTCAGGGTCTGTCATAATCACGCTACTTTTTTCTACTGTACTCTTCATACTTGACAGGTATATAGACATGTATTATTTCTTTGCTTTCCAGATTTAATGCTCTGTGAAATTGGGACCTCATCTATCTTTTCTATCATCAGTTTCCAGGTTCTACCAAAGTCCTGAGCACATAGTAGATGCTCAAAAATGTTGATTCAAAGAATAGGTAAGTTCACTTTCTACAAACTTTAGAAAATATTTCTGGCCTCATCATTTTAAAGACTGGATTGCTTTGCCTTCTGCCTCATTTGTGATCACTGCCTACTCAGAAGTTTATGGTTGCCTACTCTCATCTTCAGAGTCATATTTTTGTGGACACTTTGTCACAAATTTTAATGTGGGATCAATTTTTGATAAGGAAATGGCTTTCTTGTTTCATTGAGTCATTCTCTGTCCCCACCATTTATGTCACTTATGGAACATTCTAGATACTATAGAAGACTCCACACCCTCCACACTGGGTATTTTCCATGCATACAAGTCCCTGGGCTAAAACCTGGTCACGATCCTGTGTTGTCTTTTCTTTAATCCCCATCTCCAGACCAGGCCCCTGCAGATGTTTGGACAAGGTGGTCATTATTTGGATCTCAGATTTTTCCCCTTTTCACTGCAGGGATTTATATGCCCTTTGCTGGGCCTCACTAACGCTTGGCAATAAGAGCTTCTGTCTGACGCTTAGGCAGATGTGTGAGCAGCAGAACATGTCAGGAAATATCTCCACTTTCCAAAAGAAAAAAACAGGGCATCGTGGACTACCAGCAGCAGCATTAATATCCAGCTTCACAGCGCTGTTTCCTTCTGGATAACATCTTGAAACAACAGACATGCTTGCCAATCGTAGCCAGTATATATTTGTATAGAAGGCTGTGCTGAAAAGGCTATACTGACTTCAAATCAGAGCAAGGCCATTTGTGATCTGTTGCACACTTAGCTATGATACACGCAGTAACTGCAATACTTTACTCCCTTTCCCCCAAACTAAAATGTCTAAGTAAATTTTTTTTTCTTCCTGGAAACCACCTAAAAAACCAAAGTGAGGAAAACTGGGAATTGGTGGTTAGAGTCCACTGGAAGGTAGAGAGTTATGCTTCACCTCTATGCTTAGTTCTCTACCGCAACAGGCAGACATTTTAAATACTGATAAAAAATCTTAATGACGTGTGAAAACATTTATGTTTGCTGAGAAGCTATTCTCTGTAAGTCTCTCATGGTTTTGTACATTTTATAAGCAAAGCATTTTCTTCTTTCTGAGAATCCTTCAAGGATATTTGTATAATGGCTAGTCTTGGAAGATAGAGGTGATATCTCCCTTTGGATCAAAGGGTAGATCTGCTAACCACTCTGTATAATAGTATCTTCTTCCAGAGCAAAGGGCAGGCATGTTACTGCCCACTATAAAATCATCCCTAAATAGCTCAGTCCCTAAGTTCAGGGTTGCTCTCTTGCAATACCGCCAACTTTAGAATCATGTTCTTCTGGTCTCTCTGGGACTTAGAGCAAGGGGAATTGATATAAATATACTAATCCTGATCTCTGTGCTAAAATCCTTTATCTCTGGCCCAGAAGTCTCTGTTATTTACTTGCACTCATGACTGAGGTAGATTAACTTAACACGCCAATAGGAAAAGTCTCAAACCCTTCACAGTTCTTGACATGTAAGTGTATATTCAATAGGATCCCCCAAACACAATAGTTTTCATGGGGGAAAAGATAGGAGAAAATACACCAAAATAATAATTGTCATTATTTTGTGATGATGGGATAGATGGGAGTCATCTTCTATCTTTTCTGCTTATTTTTTTCTGAACTATTCCTTCTTCTCACAAAGAATAAAATTTGAGAACTGTAGTTCAAGCTTTTAGGTCACCAAGCAAACTGAAGGTATATGCTGCCAAAATATAGCAGATGTGTAATTTGCACATTTTCCACCCAGGTTGTTTGTAAACTACTTGTCCCTCTCATTCTTTATGCTCGGATTGGTGCACACACATATTTTCACAGGCATACAACTCTGGTACAGTCTATATCAACTCCCACTTGAAAAACTGGCTACTTTTGGCTCTTTGGACACATTTCCCTCTTCTAGGTCAAAATTTAATACAATACAGCTTTAATAACCATTAACTGTTATCACCAACCCAAGTGTCCTTTCCCTATGAGTCTACAATTTAGGCTTTTAAGTATTTAATGGTTACTTTTCCTCTTTTAATATCATTAGAAGTTCCAATAAATTATTATGTTTTTTTTACCATGCTAGGGAACACAGCCAGAGTCTTGTGCATACTGAACAAGAACTCTACCACTGAGCTACATCTCTAACACCAATAAATTGATGTTTACATTTTTAATTTTTTTATTATCATATTATTGTTTTAATGGGGTACACTGTAACATTTATAAAAATGCTTACAATATATCTTAGTTAAATTCATCCCCTCCATCATTCTCATTAATCCTTTTTCCCCCCTTCTTAGAACAGTTTCAACAGTCTAATTTTTTTCTATTTTCATACATGAGTACATATTTCCACCATATTTGCCCTCCTTCACTCTTTCCTTTTTTCCTCCCCTCGCCCACTGGCACCAACCCCCCAGACAGGATCTGATTTACATTCCTAGGCTTCAATAAATTAATTTTTAGAAAAAATTAATTAATTTCTAATTCTTTATAGATGCTATCACCAAGTATAGCTCTAAATCAAATTGTTTTTGATTATTAAACCCCAAAATAAATTTAAAGTCATTTTAATGAAAGTATATTTGAGGTTAATCAACACTAATATGCATATAAAACATTCCATTTGGTTCTTTATAACCTTTTCTGTAATGCATTTTTTGTTTTTATCTGTTTTTTTTGTCTTTGTTTCATGAATCTCTTTTATATATACTGGCATTACACAATATAGAACTCTAAATAAAATTAGTGTAACAAACATATTTTTGACACCCTCATTTAACTATTGACCAAAAAACTAATCATGTAATAATGAATAATGTTTTCCCCTAAATACACCTTGATTGAGATCTACATTCACTATTTCCAGTCTATTTAAATCAAAGAGTAATTAGCAGAAGATAACAAAGGTATATAAAACTATAAAAGCATGAACATTTCACACTTTATATTTGGAAAGGTGTATGAATAAATTAAGACTATATCTGGCCATTTGTATTTGGATGCTAGGCTAAGTCAACCCTTAGCTCTAGGTTGACAGACCCATTATAGTTATTTTTATGCAATAAGCTTTATAAAATAAGCCAAAAATCTCTTTGGAAAGCTAATACATTTTAGCTAATAATTTAAATCACAGTGAATTAAATTCTATGTAGTTATGGGCTTTTATTATCCTTGCTTTAAAGGTCAGGTTTCTTTAAGAGTTGGTGAAATTGAGCATATTTTCTCTTAAAGATTAACTTCATTTTGCTACTGCTACATCAGATTCTACACCTTTACAATTCCTGGGAACCAATTTGCTGATACATTAACACAGAGCACCTAATGACAAATACTTTGCTGAAAACATATGAAGGCCTGTCTTGAGAAAATGGCCAACACTGGAATGGATCAGGAGGCTTTAATTAAGCATTTCTGCTCCCACCTCCCATAGGAAAATGTGGTTGAACTGGGAAAAATAAAATATTTGCAGTTCTCATACAACATCTTTTTTAAAAGTTCAAGTTAACAGTATATTAGTCAGGCGTTCAATAACCACTTGTAAAAAAAAAACAGTATATTAGTGACAAGACACTTGGATATAAATTGGAAACACAAGAAAAATCTTATTATTTCCCAACCAATGATTACCATTTAGACTCAAGGCCACGTTTACTTTGTTTCTGAAATTATTACTGTCCTATCAACCTGAAAAAAA